CTATTTCTACTCTACCAAAGTCAGTCATTTCCCATGAAGAAAACCAGAATACGATGTCTTGTTTCAATTTCAGAATCAGGTTACATTTCTGGTTTCAGCGAGTATGCACAAGAAATACATTTTGGGTGACTGAAGCTCTGTAATTTTTAGTGACTAACTATAAAGAAAATATTTACAAAGAAAAGTCTTAGTGGATGTCTAAGTAGCTCATATACACTGATGGTCCCCAGAATCTATTCTATACACGTTCTCATGTTATAATACATTGCACTACCTACCTCGGGCACCTAATTCAGGAGCAATCCACATGTACAAGGAGTCAGCTTGTGGCCAAAATCAGAATGAGGCCAAATTCTCAACAGGCTGCTCACATGAGCCTCTCTGCTCATGGTTTTGATTCATCTGCATTTGGCAGAAGAAAATAGTACCAACCCCAGCAGGTGAGGAGGTAAAGGAAGAACCCCAGAGTAGACAAGGATGTCAGGAAACCAGAATATCAGGACAGTACAGAAATGCAGAAACACACATGAACAAGGTCGATGCCAATGTCAGTGCAATCCAGACCTGGTGTCGGAACAGCTGCCGAGATAAAAATGATCCTTTTTGGAAAAATGCTTTTCCCAGGTCTGCCCTACCTTGTTATATACCACATGAATGCTCAGGGAAAGTCTGACCAACCATTTGCTAACCATTTGTCAGTTGTGTTAACACTGATCACATACATCCCTCTGACAATTACTGCTGGGTCATAGGAGGAAATAGAGATGCATAACTAAACCAAAACAAAACAAAACAAAACAAAACAAAACAAAACAAAACATCATTCCTCCTGCAAAGGCCAAAGTCCTTTTCAGTCCTGACTGAGTAGTGCACCGGTGAGCAGCTGGGGACATGGGCTGCTTAGCTATGGGAGTCTCTGGGTCTCCAGAAGCACCGCTGGTAGGAGTTTCAACAGAAGGAGGAGTCTCAACAAGTCACGTCAGTCGTTGAGTAGCCCTTGCAGCAGAGAGACACTGGTCATACCTGCTTCTGCTGCTGGCCTCAATTCTAGCATGGTAAAAAGCAGCGACTTGTGTCAAAGAAAAGGTTAGAAGACATTCAGTGTGTCACCTGGGTAGGTGTGCTTGAAAGGGGGGTGTTGTCACAGTGCAGGCAGTGCTGCAGGTGCCTGAACTATGGGCCTTGGGATCAAGCACATGTTGACTCCATTGGTGGCAAGGGACCCACAGTGGGAGAAACCCCAGTTAACTATGGGACTGGAAGCTGCAGCCCCTGTAACTTGATGGGTTAACATCATCCTAGAACTTGCTACCAGCACAGAGAATGAAGGTTTTGTCATTGACCCACAACATCATGGTGGCTCAAGAAAGGTAGTTAATGACCCAAAGAGGCAGAAGTAGAACTAGGTAAAAGCATGTGTGAAGGGTTTTGAAACTGACAAATAATCTAGGCGGAGCCCCTAAAATATGTAATGAACTTGGTGTGCCAAACCCAATCAGGACTTACTTACTTTGCCTCCATTCAGCCCTGATGCCAGTTAGAGATCTGGAAAATCCCCTGGGACCTCCAGGGAGGGAGCTTTACACCAAGGTAACCACCTGTTGAAATGCAGGGCTCAGGCTGCACTGCAGGTCAGTCTAGAATGACCCAAGTGAAGAAGGGGGTGGAAGGATACACACGAGGCTTTATAGAGACCATGATCCAGGCTGCCACACAGGCTGGGAACAGATCTTGCACTAGCATTGCTGTAGCGGTGGTCAGTGAGCACTATTATGTAGTAGGAGTGGACTAGAGACAGTCCAGAGGAAGTCTCAGTTAGGGCAGGCCCTGGGGAGCCACAGCTTGTCCAAGCAGAAGAGAAAAATGGAGCCCAGTAGTCAACCCTCAATTTTAGTGGATATGGGGAAGTTAAAGACAGATCCATTTTTGATGATAAAATAGTGAGGATAATCTGCCATTATCTTCCCCCATAACAGTTATACCTCAGTGGGATGGTAGAGCCACCCGAGGACATTTTGGAAATTTTAGGAGGCTTGTATTTCCCTTTTGTCACACTGATTGGGAAATGCTGTGGGCATTCAGTGAGATGGGTTAGGGATACAAGGTGTCCTGCAATCAAATAATTGTACCACATCCTGCCCAACCTTCACCTTGTCTCACTAGAAATTTACATCGATGAAAAATCTACCTAGAGCCTACCTTCCTTTATATTAACACAAAGTAGTTCGGTACTGTTTTAATATACATAGAATCTTTGGTAATAACTGTAACTGGAGAGAAGACTGCATTTGGTTTCACGGGAATGATTCCACAAACCGTTCCCCGTCTCAGAAGACCACATCACTAACAGCAAGGCTGCGTGTGATTTTGAGGCCACCCTACACAACATACCTGGGTGGTCAGAGTCTGTACGTGTCACGTTCATGATGATTCTGCACATAGCTGCACATCTGGATGCCTAATTATATGTTATGGTGCAGTCATATCTGAGTCATTATAAATTAAAAGTAACTAAATTAAAAGTAACTAAATTAAAAAGCAAACAAATAGAGAAAATAAAGCCAAACGTTAATTTTGAGAAAAGATTAATAAAATCAGTCAACTCTTAGCAGGACGGATGAAAAGTAGAGAAAAGGCTCAAAAGACCAATATCAGAAATGAAAAAGGAGTCATCATTAGAAATCATGCAGGCATTAAGAAGGTAAGAAGAGGCTATTATTTAGAACCCTAGGCAATTAATTTGAGATTTCATGTAAATCAGTTAATTTTTTTAAGTTTATTTATTTTGAGAGAGAGAGAGAGAACAGGAGGGGCAGAGAGAGAATCCCAAGCAGGCTCTGCGCTGTCGGCAGAGAGCCCGACACGGGGCTTGATTACAGGAACCATGAGACCATGACCTGAGTCAAAACCAAGAGTCAGATGCTTAACCAACCTTAACCACCCAGGCTCAAGCTCTTCCTGACAATATAGAAGAGGAATCCTTCCCAACTTCTGTAATGAGTGAGCATTTCCTTGGCCTCTGTAACCAAAGATCTTTGTTTTTCTAAAAAGGAAAATGTAAAACTAAGCTTTCTCTTCAAGTTAGGTAACAATTCTAAACAAAATAACAGCAAACATAATCAAGCTCTGTATAATAAGGATACTATATCATAACCAAGATGGAGTTATTCTAAAAATATAATGTTCAGTTAACATTTGATAATCAAGCAAAGTAGGTTAGCAATTAACAGAAAAAGGGGAGAAAAATAATAGGTCACCTCAGTAGAGGCAGGAAAAGCACTTGGTAAAACTCAACACCCATTTGTGATAATGACTTCTACAAGAAGTAGAAAGGTCTTCTTTATCTGATAATATATAAAAAAAAAAAAAAAACCACTGACAAATAATATAAATATAAACCAAAAAAAGAATCTTATCATATTTAGAGGTGAAATATTGAAAGCTTTTATTAAGAGACTGGGAATGAGACACGGGTTCCTCCTATCACCATTTACTATATTGGGCAATCATCACAAACCCCAGTGTCTGTAAGGTTCATGGCAATAGGGAGGGGTGGGGTCTATGGAATTTGAGAATCTTCTGCCAGAAGTCATTCAAATTCAATTACAAAGCAAAACCAAACAAAACCAAGACAAAACAAAACAAAAATCACTGAGCCAGCCAAATAAAATATCTGCAGGCCAGATTTAGTCTGCAGTCTGCAAATTGGTGAACTTGGTTGGGGTTGTTTTGGGCCCAGCTGATAGGATAATAAACTTCACGTCTTAAGTAAAAACAGTAATCAAGTATATTACTACCTGAAGGAGACCCTGTGTTTTAATAGATGTCAAAGTCTCAAGCTAAACTTTGTGTAATTTGGAGGAGAGCGCTGAAAAGGCAAGCCATACAATACTCAGAAGGAATAAACAATACTAGGGTGTCAATGGAAAGAGAGGCTCACATCGTGGGACTTCAGGAGTAGCGATAAACAGCAAAACCACTGGGTTATGAATTATTCCAAGAAATCCCCAGGGCATCTCTGCTTGAATTTATCACATTGTACAAATGTGAAAGAAGACAGATTAAAAAATGCAGTAGTGAGTTGACTGTTTTGGTAAACACTCTCCATTAGAAGTACTTGCATGTAAGAGGCACTGGTGAAATCTTTGAATTTGAATAGTGTTCTTTCCTGATATCTGCTGTCCTAGATGCCCTAGGACATGAATGAATGAATAGGATGAATAGGAATGGTCCTTTATGCCCTTAGACTGGTGTCATCAGCTTGCTCCTGGGCCCAGAGTTGCAGACACAGGAAAGCAGAAGGCAGGCAGGTCAGTTTGCTCAGCAAGAACCCCTCTTGGGTGGTCCATTTTGCACATGTGTTAAGAACTGGCTTGACCCAGAACCGCCTCCCTCATTTCTGCAGGGCGAGGTTTATGGAATCTTTGGTGCAGTGACTTTCTGAATCTAAACTGACCTTGGCTTTTGTGTTTCCTTGGATAACCGTCTCTCCGCTTTGCAAAGCAGATGAGCTCTTTGCCTCCCTTCCAGAATGAGGTGGAGATTGGAGAAGATAACTGAAAGTTTATACCTGACACCCCTATGGTGCCTTTGCTGCTTGGTGTGGGTTTCCCAGGTCAGCCAGTGAGACAGCTCCAGGAGCTCACCCGGAGTCCTTGAAGGAAATCTTATCCCTGAAGCAAGACTCATGTCAGTGGAGCCTGACAGAACTGACTGCCCGCACAGTGGTCAGTCTGGCTGTCACCCACATGCCCAGTGCCCAGCCTGGCACCTGGAAATGCCTATTTTCAGAAATGCCAGGGTTTGGGGAGTCCTTGACTGTGTTTGTATTTATGATCACAACTCTATGTTTTAGATGATGTGGCTTGGATTCGTCTTCGTAGTTGTCTTCAGACTTTCCTGCCCTTCAAAACAGGAGCTGCTACCAAGGGCCTAAGGAGGTGATACTAGGAGCAAAGGGAGAGCATTAAATGCTGTTTAAGTTGACAACTCCAACTTACCTTTGGACTCGGTCCTTATCAACCACCTCCAATCATCTCTAATTCATTAAGCTGCTTTTTGCTTCTTCCTGAAAAAAAGGGATAACAGAAGAAAAATATTTTTTTCTTTTACTATAAGTTGTTTCAAGAACAGTGCCAGGCAGCACTACCTTGGCTAGGGTTTCTGACACAAGTTAGTTTCAAGGAGTTTATCACATTCACTGTTTTTATTTTATTTTATTTTATTTTATTTTATTTTATTTTATTTTATTTTATCTTATTATTTGATTTTATTAAGTTTACTTATTTATTTGGAGAGAGAGAGGCAGAGAGAGAGAGAGGGCGAGACAGAATCCCAAATAGGCTCCGTGCTGTCAGCGTAGAGCTGACGCAGGGCTCGAACTCATGAGCATGAGATCATGACCTGAGCTGAAATCAAGAGTCAGTCGCTTAACCGAGCCACCCAGGAGCCCCACAACATTCACTATTTTAGTTTTTAGGTGGCAGAAACCTTGCCTGGATGTCAGAGTTCATGTGCATGCTCTGTTTACTAAAACATGAGTCACAACTGAGGGTTTCTTGTTGCCCTTTGTTATGAACAGTGTCACTTGTATCAGACCACACTTTCTGGTTTGTGCCTTCAAATACAGCTTTGGTTACCATGAAATACTGAACTTTTGTCGGTGAAATTTAAATTTCTTACATGGGGGAAAATGTAAATCACATCGGGGAGAGAAGAAAGAGATCTGAAGTTGGGGAAAGTCCAGAGACTTGAATTTACTTGTTAATTAATGTATCCTATGCCTAAATAGAGCATAACTTAGTAAATGGTTGTTCAATGACTTAGTGGTGGGGAACTTTACTTTTGGAATGAAGGTATCTCATAAAGAATCCTTTTGGGGATAAAAGGAGCCCAATACATTAGCTAAATAATTATGGGCCACATTTAAAAAAATCACATGTATTAATACTTTATTAAATAGAAAAACAGAGATTTGAAAAAAAGCACTGGTTTTATTTATTTTTTAAAATTTATTTATTCATTTTGAAAGAGAGAGAGAGTGCACGCTAGTGGCGGAGGGGCAGAGAGAGATGGGGAGAGAGAACCCCAGGCAGGCTCCATACTGTCAGAGCAGAGCCTGATGCAGGGCTCGATCCCGAGAACCGTGAGTTCATGACCTGAGCTGAGATCAAGAGTCAGATTGATTAACCAATTGAGCCACCCAGGCACCTCGAAAAATAGCACTGGTTTTAAATCACCAAAGTTTCCATAGACGGGGGAGAAAACCCAACATGATACACCACAGATTCCAGTGGCCTCTACCCATCAGGAAGTGTGGGAATACCTGAAAAGGAGGCAGATTTCAGTAGTGAAGACAATCTGAGTGTCTTCCAGTTCTGGTAGCTACACAGTGGTGTCAGAAGCACAGCAAACACTTCCCCAGCAATAGATGTTTATCACAGCTCCACTGAGGAAATATTTTGCAATGTTCATCAGCATAGCACCACTTTGGGGAAAGCCCCTTCCACATTCTTTAGTCTATGTGCTTACAGTGGGGCTGACCCCAGCCCCAACGGCACAGGTATGAAAAACTAGAGTCAATCCAAAGACTTTTACCGATTACATCAGAAAAGGGGTGCATTTGTTTGCACTGCTAGGAGGGATCTTAAAAGTTCTCTTCGCAAGAAAAGCATCTGTGACTGTGTGTGGCAATGGATGTTAACTAGATGTACTGTGGTGAGCATTTTGCAGCATATACAAAATCCAGTCATTACACTGTACACCTGAAGCTAATACAGTGCTGTAATATCAGTTATATCTCAGAAATAAGCAAATACGTAAAACTGAAAGATAAACAAAAAGGAGAAGGAAAGGGGATGCATCTGTTTCACAGGAGTTGGAGGTAGGAGGAAGACTTGAGTTACTCATGGTCACATCTTATTACCAGGTGGGAAGAATCTTTCAGAGAAGAATGATAATGAAAAAAATATTCAGGGGTGCCTGGGTGGCTCAATCGGTTGAGCATCCGACTTCAGCTCAGGTCATGATCTCACAGTCTGTGAGTTCAAGCCCCGTGTCGGGCTCTGTGCTGACAGCTCAGAGCCTGGAGCCTGCTTCGGATTCTGTGTCTCCCTCTCTCTCTGACCCTCCCCTGCTTGTGCTCGGTCTGTCTCTCTCTCTTTCAAAAATAAATAAACATTAAAAAATTTTTCAAAGATAAGAGATGAATACAGATGGTTTTCTGGTCATATTGTGAGAGCATCTAGATCCAGCTATACCTGAAGCATCAGATTTCTGTAGTTTTCATTTAGTGAAAAACTTTTTTAAATCCTTTTTTTTTTCCTGGCATTACCCTCTCTGTTGCTCTTCCTCAGTTCTCATCCAACAAGGTAATGTTTTCCTTTAAAAAAAAGTCAAAAATAATTTTTATACATTACTAACAAACGATCCATGTCTCCATTAGGTACCTTTAATGTTCTACTTTTTATTTTATTATTTTATTATTTTATTTTTTTGGAATATTTATTTATTTTTGAGAGAGAGCAAGTGGGGGAGGGACAGAGAGGGAGTGAGACAGAGGATCTGAAGCAGGCTCCATGCTGACAGCAAAGAGCCCAGTGTGGAGCTTGAACTCACAAACCATGAGATCATGACCTGAGCTGAAGTCAGAAGCTTAACCGATTGAGCCTCCCAGACACTCCAATGCTCTACTTTTTAAAACAAAATCTCAAGCAGCTCAGAATACTTTTATACAAACTTGTTAAAAATGAGAGTTTGGTCCAGTTCTTTTTAGAAGACGAAGAGCTGTCTGCAGGAATAAGAAGATGAACTTGCATGTAAAAATAGAGTTTTTCTGAATTAAAAGCAATAACATAGGCACTGAAAACATCATTTGCCTTGTAGTCAGCCTGGTATTTTTAGCCCCTCCTACACAGCGTTAGGTCAGGGGAACTGAGAGCTCCATTCTCTCATCTTCATGCATCCACAATTCTAGCATTCATTTAATTTCTGACTAAAAGACACTAACTGCCACTCCAGCAGGCTCTTGAGAGAGCCTCAGACCTTGTTCTTCCCCAGTGTTCTCTAAGGTTCCTGGAGGTGGGACTTCCACTTACCACCCATGGATCCCAGCCTTTCCTCCCTTTGCTATTTCAGCTTCCTTTGAAAATTTGATTCATCTTTACAATTTGGCTGGTTTATTCTCAGCACCTGGCTACCAGACTTGGGAGCTGGTGGGGACGTATCTATTTCTTGTATCACACTGTGCCTCTTTATTTAACCCAAAGCCCTACCAGTTGAAATGAGGGATTGAATAGACAAATTACACTGACATGACTTGTCTATAAAAATTGCCCCGAAGGAACCAGCTTCTTGCCTTTGGGTTATTGTGTCTAAATCTGTCATTCTCTGGTTCCCTCCTCTCCTTGAGAATGTTAACATTTGCCTCCAATTCTAGTGAGACTGGTGAGTTCACACCAAAAACATTTCTGAAAAATATGTAAGATGAGCTAAAGATTTAAGTGGTCACGCGATCAGAAGGAAGTTCAGCAAAACTTAACACAGCTTCTCTGACTCCTGGAAGCCATAGTCAAGATCCTGCCCGTGCAAAGTGGCATCTAGCCAGGTCTTGAGAGCTTTACTTTACATGTCTAGTTCAAACTAAAGCTTTATGATAACTTATGAGGACTTTGAGAATAAATCCTCTTGTCTTATATTTCTTCTTTAAAAATCTTGGCTCTCTGAAGTCCTTTGCATTTGCTTATTAAGTTTAGATTCAGCCTGTCGAATTAAAAAAAAAATCCACAAGAGTTTAGATTGCAGCTGATTGAGTGTTTCAATCCCTTCATATTTTATAGCACAATTTAAACTTATTTTTTCTTCAATTTCTTTTAGCGTTTCCAGTTTTCTGCATAGAAGTCTGATACAACTTTAGTTAGATTTATTCTAAGTATATGGCATTATGATGCTATTATAAAAGCATTTACTAAATTTCATTTCCCAACACTTTCCAATATACAGAAATGAACGGATTTTTAAATATTGATTTCCTATATAGCAACCTAGCAAAGCACTCTTTAAGTCTCATGATATATCTGTGAATTATTTAAAATTTTCTTCACATATAAGCAATTACTTCATATAGAAGTTTGCTGTTATTTTTTCCACTTCCAAACTTCATGTCTTTTTTGTTGACTTACTATATTACCACGAACTTGAGCAATTTGTTGACTAAAAGTGATAACATTGTTGCCTTGTTCCCAATTTCAAAGGGAATAATTTCATTATTTCACCAATATGTATATTTGTTGAGGTTTTGTTTTGTTTTTTAGGTATTCGTCATTAGATTATTAAATGTTCTAACCTGGTTTGCTAAGAGTATTTGTATTCTTCTAAATCATACATGCATGTTATAATTTCATCATGTACATTTTCTGCATCTGTCAAGATTATCATGATTTTGTCCTTCAATTCATGAACGGGCCTATTGCTAGAAGCCAGATACCACTCAAGTGCTGATGGAAAAAAAAAAAAAAAAGTTCTGCAAAGGGGAAGTGCTCAACTTTGTCAAGGAGAGGCCATATTGTTTGCACTACTAGCAGTTATAAATAAGTGCATGTAAATCAGAGCATCGGTTAGTTACAAGGTACTTTTCAAACACCAAAGACCTGGATATATGTGTTGAGAGGAAAAATTACAAAAGCAAAAAGAATGGCATTTTAAAACATGTTATGAGAGAGGGCCTTACTATTATTCTAACTCATTAAGCACTTTCTACATGAATTATCTGACATATCCTCAAAACAACCCTATCATTTCCACTTAAGACACAGGAAACTGAAGCTCATAGTGGTTAAATAACTCGCCCAATGTTACATAGCTAATAAGTGTGATTGATGCAGTTCCAACTGGCTCCAAACCCAAACTCTTAAGTTTCTTTCAGAGGAGGCAACATGATATAGTGGGTAAGGATTTGCACAGGGTTTGGTTTTGATAAATGATGTTTTCTAAGTGACAGTTTTATAGATGGAAATAATAGACAAGAAGGAATTGTACTCTGAACTGTTTTATAGAGATTATTCGTGTGCA